CCTAATTCGTATATCTACGTCAGTTAGTACGCGTACGTCACTCGTTTTCTCGAATCCTCTATGAGAAAAGAAAGGCTGTACCGCGAACACGTCCGACGAGACTTTCTTCCATCGAGCGTCAAAAAACATTTCCAAAGGCATGCTCGAGTCGCAAAAATTAGTTTTCAAAGTGAAACCTAACGAGAGAAGAACAACAAAAAAAATTAAACGCATTTACGAGTCTACTAGTTGTTGTAAATGCAAGATGCCACATACGTATACATATTATATATATATATATGTTATATATATATATATGTTATATATATATATATGTACATATGCACATACTATATTTACATACATATATATACGTGAACGTTCAAGTAACTACGCGACATATCAAATTCTTATTCTTATCTATCGTTTAACGCAGCTGTAGAATCACGATTTTTGATTTCTTTCATCATTCGACACGATCCATCTTCGTCGACGTGTATCACTTCTCTTTTTCTTTTTTATCGAAATTAAAATTGGCACGCACCGTCTCAAAATCGTAATTTGTTACTAATTGCTGTTATTCTTACATGTATCTGCTACTACGTGTGTTAAAAATCATAAAATTTTCATACTCAAAAGTTCAGTAGTATCGTATTAGATCACTGTGTTAAATATACCTGCAACAACAGCAATAGAATGAAGCGTGTAATTTTGCATAGTAATGTTCTAAGTAGACATGTTTAGTACACACCGAGTAAATTGCAGAGAAAAAATACGTAGAGAAAAGAAAGAGGTAGGAGAAGAGATGTTCGATTCGGGCGACTTGGCTCAGCTTCGACGTTTCGAAAGGTTTCGGATGCTGACACAACGAGATACTGACATTGACGATTGATTTACACGAGAGCTCGACAAATTCTTCGTACTCGGCGAGTAGAGAGAAGGAGCAGTCGCGACGTTTGACGACGGTACTCGGCGGCTCGTCGGTTCGACACTCGGGGGAGAAGATGAACCGAGGATGAAGGATAGAGACGACGTCGAAGACGAATGCGAAGATGAAGGCAGCGACGACGACGACGACGACGACGACACACGAAGGCCGCGTGAATCTAGACGTGGTGAACGAGCGACGTCGTCGTACGATCGCGAACACCGAATGCGAATCTCGAAACCAACTGACTGAAACACTGATACACGAGTCATGCACGAGTTGTGTGTTTCCTTTTGGAAGACGGATGATGGGTTAGCTCTACATTAAACACAAGACGAAGAATTTGCGTATCACGTGAGTTTATTTTCAAGGATTCAAAAACATATACAATTTAGAGACAAGGAGAGAAAAAAAACATGCGCCAGTCGGAGCGGTAGAGATGTACATGTACAATTCAATCGATGAGAAATAGGCGATCAAATACGCAAATACGTTATCTCTAGTTGATTTCAAGAACTGAATCTAATCACTCACTCTCGGTTCGGCGAAAGAAGCCTTCTTGACGCTCGCGTACATACAATATACCCTCTTTCTCGAATTTCTGCGAAGGTTGCGTAGCCAGAGTTAGCAGTTCTTGCTTGTTAAACCGCATCGCGCTCTCAACACGCCCGTGCTCCACCACGCTGACAACTCCACGTTATCCGCGAGATCACGTACTCTTCTTTCTCTTCGTTATCTGTCAAGAGATGAAATGATTAGCGACACACGTGTTGTGTTGTTACATCTCGTTCGCTGTTACGTCAGATTCGCAAAGTAAAAGGAAAGAAAGAGAGAAAGAAAGAAAAAAGCGACACGAAACGAAACGAACGTGAAACGTGGAACGCAAAACGTGAGAAGAAACGCGGAACGAACCACGAAACAAAACACGCGGAATGGAACGAAACGGAAAGCAAGTTGATCTGATACTTGTCCCCGACAATTATTTCGTTAAACGTCCACATGTACAAAAAGATCGAAGTGTTTAACCTCTCTCCCTCTCTCTCTCTCTCTCTCTTTGTACACACCTTGCAACTTTGCACTTTTTTTTCTCCTCCCTTCCCCTTCTGCACGACCCACCCTCATAACCACGCTCGATGCTTGCGTTTTTTCTTTCTTTTTTGTTCTCTGCACTGTTACAGGATATTGTTTGTCGAGCAATTCGTCGTTCGACTTATCGAAAAGTAAACAACGAAAAGTAAATCAGTCGTTAAGAAGAATAAACAGAACGAACGATGGAGTTGCAAACAGAGATCTACTGTACCGCACCGCCATCATCGAGAGAGTATCGCTCCTCGCTCACCGTTGAATGCATTTTGCGCTTTTTTCCAACTAAAGCCACTATTGGTGGCAGCTAACGTTAAAACACTAATCAAACGTCAAACGTGTGACCATGTATACGTCATGCATGATCTATGTATGTACGTACGGATGTGAAAATGAAAGTATACATGTATGAATGCACAGGACCCAAGGGTCAAAGCTTCAGACGAAAATAATTGTCGAAACGAACGTGTACCGTATTTCCCATTTTCCCAAGCGGCCGAGATTCATCAACTATCAGAAGAGAGAGCAAATGGCCGTGGCCATACTGCCATACATTCGTTTCGTTTCACCTCGGTATCCTTCGTGAAGATTGCACGTTTCCGAAGACGTCCGATTAAACTCGAACATTCCCGACAAGATCACACTCCACGGACATGTCTCGATATTCGGTATTTTCAACTGCTTCAACGAAACGCTAATGAATTATTAATATAAATAAATTTTTATTCGTTCACACGGTCAAATCGTTTCTTTATCAACTTTTTTTCTATATTTGACACAACTATCTGTTTTTATTGCTGTTCTATGTTGACGATGACAGTTGTTTTAAAGCCGGACGAAACAGTAATTGATAGGCACGAATTTAGAGTACGCAAAAGTCGATCGATCAAACGTAAATAAATTGTGCAACGTGTCGAAGCAGCATGGAATCATTTTTATCCGCATCAAGAGCAGCCGTGGTAAATTTCTGTTTCATTCCAATTAATTCGCAGTAGTGAGTAAAACCCAAAGGACGAGCTTCCAATCAAAGTTCGCAATATTCGTTCGCTTCTTTCCAACGAGGGATAAACAAAGTACTTACGAAACCCTTTGCCTGTCTAGCTGCATTTTGCAAGAATCTAACCACACGGTCCGGTACATTTTTAACGTTTGCACGTCATAGACGTGTAATATACGAGACAGGTAGAGGATTAACACGTAACAGAATGATTGACGATTGAATCACTACCTTACTCTGTATATCTCCACATTTTCATTGCTAGGAAAAAAGCAGGAATAAAAAAACAATGAATCTTGTTTAATGTCTATTGCGTAACGACACATGGTTATTAATTTTGTTACAATTTGTAGATCGACGTATCGTTATCGACATACGTACAGTACATACACGCTCATACTGCATTATACAGTATGGTAAAGCTAATGCCAATGCCAAATAAAAAATGCCAAATTTTCCGAATATTTATACCTCCGTAGTTATTAATATTCTTCAGTTACGTACGTTTGTTCTAAATACGATGTATTTAGGTCTGAAAAAAATTATTTTCAACAGAATTTCAACATATATGTATGTAGGTAAAACTACAGTTGGCAGCCATTGCACGTACCGTTTCATGAATAGTTTCAGTTCGCGTCTTTTCCGCGCCAAATTTTTGACGTAATTGAAATTGCAGCGTGTTATTGCATCAAAAAAGAAAAAAAAAGAATAAGGATTGACATTGGATTACAAGTTATTTATTTTGTAAGCAAAAAAATAAAAATCAAGTTGAAGAACGTAAGGTATTTAGTTATTTAACCGGTACAAATTGCTACTTTATACAAATACTTTATACAAAGATGCTTAAAGATGACAAAATCAAGGTTAGGTTAGGTAAATTTAAAAATGTACAAGCGGAAAAGATGAATAGATGGATAATATTATACGCGTAGTAAAAAGAAAAAAATATTTAACGGAGTATTATTACTTTACATGTTATTCCAGTTGAATCTGTCGGCTTACGAAAGAATCCGCATCGTTCTGGGCAATGAAACTTGTGATTTAGATTCAGCCGTATCGACGTTGATTCAAGCATTCTGCGAGCATTTGGACGGAATCGAAAGTAAGGAAGCAGATTTGGCAACAATACCGTTAATGAATATACCCAAGAGAGAATATCGCGTGAAAACCGAGGTTGTATTTTTCTTCGAACTTCACGGCATACCTACCGACTTGCTAACATTCCGGTAAGTTTCCAGACTTTCCGACGGAACGTTACGGAACGAGTTTATACGGAGTACAGGCTTGACACCTGTCAAAAATTGAAATTGTCTTTGCACTAATTCTTCACGCTTATTTACGTGTGGTAAATCTCAGTCGCAATTAAGATTAGTCCAATAGCGTGAAGTCTGGTGACATTTCTTTTTTCTTATTTTCACTCGGCGAATCTGCCGCCGGTGCAAAGTTACGATTAAAAAAAGTAGAATACAGATAACAAATGATTGTGTGTATGTTGTAGGGATGAAGTAGATTTGAAAGCATTGAAGGAAAATACGAAGATAAAGTTGCAAGTGGTGCTTGTTGATCATCATAACCTTTCGGACGGGGACATGTACTTGATGGATTCTGTGGTAAAAATAATCGATCACAGGCCGCGAGACGAGCGATGGTCGTGGCCTGGCAGGGAAATACATCTGAAAAGCGTAGGGAGTTGCGCGACTCTGGTGGCGCGAAATTTGCTCGACAAGCATCCACGGACGATGGACTCGCAGATATCGAGTCTTTTGAGGGGCAAGTTCAACAAGATCACTTCTTCGATGAAATAATAAATTCGAATAGATCAATTTGGTGCTCGATGTAACTTTGTAACTTTGACAGGTCCGATATTAATCGATACTTGTAATTTCGCGAAAGACGCCGATCGTGCTACCATCGTCGACGTCGAGGTGGCGGACGCTCTTGAAAAAATCGGATCGTTAAGTCTCGACAGAGACAAAGTATTCAACGAGATCGTCGAAGCAAAATCCGACATTAGCAAATTAACGACCGATGATCTTCTGATCAGAGATTTAAAAGTAACTAGTGGAATACCGATCGTTGGACTGCCTATGTTGGTAAAGGTAAATTTCATCGCTTTTTTACATGAATTTTAGGTTTGCTTATAACTTACGTGCACGTGCGTGATACTCGACGCTTCAGAATTTCCTTGATTCGCAAGAGAGTCGTCTGGAATGTCTCGGAAATTTTGCCAAATGTAGAAACACCGCGACAGTCATCCTGATAGGATTGAAACTTGACTCGCAAAACGTGTCTCGGGATATCGCTGTTTTTTCATTGGGCACCGGAAATCGACTGGGAGAAAAGGTTCGCATAGTCGTTCTATTTTTATTTCGCTCGATCCGTTAATAGAGACGCGACTACACATCAATTCTACGATCGACAGATAACGAACGCTCTGACGCTGTCCACGCAACCTTGTCTCGAGTTGAATTTCATTAGAAAAATTCACCAAGAAGATGGAGACTTCATTTTGCTTCTTTACGAGCAAAAGAATTTACGCGCCACGAGGAAACAGATTTTACCGATCGTTCGACATGTCGTTTCGTTCGAGTGCGCTAACGATAAGTAACTTAATTCGCAAAGGGGAGAACAAGACTTCAATTTTTCGACTTTTCTTCAGAAACAGAAGCAATAAGAAACAAAACGATTCATCTCATCTTATCTTGATTGTATACTAAATTGTATATCCATTGACACGTGAGAAACTGATACTTGACGTATATAGGTAAGTGTGTACAGGAAAAATTTCACAATTAAATTACAATATCAGTTCATATGAAAATTAAGAGCCTACTATTTTGGTACAGGTATCTGTGTGTTATATGTATTATATATAAGTATTATAATACTTGTTAATAAAAAAATATACCTATAAATATATTTCTTTTATTGCAGTGAGTGAATGAGAGAGAGAGAGAGAGAGAGAGAGAGAGAACGATCGATACGGTTACAAGTCAATAACAATTACATTTCAATTTCCTTTAAAAAGTTAATTTAAAATAACATGTATGAAATTATGATCGAAAGTACATTCCCCTGTATCCCCTTTCACCCCACTCTTTTCCATCTCCTCTCCTATCTCGGAGCAAGCTCACCATCACAAGCCGATACCATGGATGTCGTTGGGCTAAAGCTTTGGACCAGCGCGGTGGAGCTTGCATCGAACTACGTTTCGCGAGGAACGCGACGAGCGTTGTTCATTGAAAAGAATCAGAAAATCGACCGGACGTGAGATTTATAATCTATTAATTTTTTACAGTTTGTGTGCGTGCGTGCGTTCGTGCGTTGTATGTACGTATTTCACAAGTTCGCATCCCTCCCATTCGATGCAATTAGGACATGTGCGTTACGTAGAGGAAGACGCATAGAGGAAGAAAGTTAGAAAGAAGAGAGAAAGGAAAGGACAAATTGAAATTGAATACGAAAGGTCGGTGGTTCTTGACTCGCGACCAGTTTTCCCAACGATGCTGAAATTCTACGGGTTTTCGAAACTCTGTGTTTTCGCGTACGCGGCGTACCGAACAACTGGCAAGCGTCGACCTTAGAAAGGTAAGCACCTTCGACATTCTTTCCAACTGTTTGGCAAATCTGTCGAATGCAGAGATCAGAACATCAAGGTATCACGTCGCATCGATTGCATCGAAGGAAGAACGTACGACGTTCCACGTTTTCTAATCGATAGGATCCATTTCACACTTTGATGGGTGTGGAAAAGGTGCGATAGTTATCGTATCTCGCTTTTATGACCGAATGAAATTATAGACGTTTGTGCATTTATGGCTTAAATTTAATTAATTAAATTTAATCGCTTAAAAATACGCGCGAAATGGAAAAAGTATATATATCAAATATTATAGAAATCATGTTCGTCGAATCCTAGCTCACCCAGCGCTGCATCTATCAGAATATAAATTAAATATTTTCAACGTTCTTTCCCTAGTCAATATTACTCGAGTTTGTTTACTCTTTAGCCGACTCGGAGAGATGAAAAATCTATCACGTTGATCGCTCCTCTCGAGATATTTCAAGTAATCGAATCACGCCTTTTATCTTCTTCACTTTGACTAATATCAAACTATAAAACGAATGTACGTGGGCGTCTAAAGACAGAATGGAAAAGCAACAGAAAGACGGGAGAAAGATGATGAAATTTCTGTCTAGAGAGGACGTTTGCGAAACGAGTTACGAGTTATGCCAGTTAGTTGGGACAAGCGTCGTCGAAAGTG